ACTTGTCAAGATATATCTAGGTGTAGTGTACACTTGTCCAGATATATCTAGGCTAGGCGTAGTGTAGACTTGTCAAGATATATCTAGGTGTATCGTAGACTTGTCCAGATATATCTAGGCGTAGTGTACACTTGTCCAGATATATCTAGGCTAGGCGTAGTGTAGACTTGTCTTGATATATCTAGGCTAGACGTAGTGTAGACTTGTCTAGATATATCTAGGTGTAGTGTAGACTTGTCCAGATATATCTAGGTGTAGTGTAGACTTGTCCAGATATATGTAGGTGTATCGTAGACTTGTCCAGATATATCTAGGCTAGGGGTAGTGTAGACTTGTCCAGATATATCTAGGTGTAGTGTAGAGTTGTCCAGATATATCTCGGCGTGGTGTAGACTTGTCTAGATATATCTACGCGTAGTATAGACATGTCTAGATATATCTAGGCTAGGGGTAGTGTAGACTTGTCCAGATATATCTAGGTGTAGTGTAGACTTGTCCAGATATATCTAGGCGTGGTGTAGACTTGTCCAGATATATCTAGGCGTGGTGTAGACTTGTCCAGATATATCTAGGCGTAGTGTAGACTTGTCAAGATATATCTAGGCTAGGCGTAGTGTAGACATGTCTAGATATATCTAGGCTAGGCGTAGTGTAGACTTGTCCAGATATATCTAGGCGTAGTGTAGACTTGTCCAGATATATCTAGGCGTAGTGTAGACTTGTCTAGATATATCTAGGCTAGGCGTAGTGTAGACTTGTCTAGATATATCTAGGTGTAGTGTAGACTTGTCCAGATATATCTAGGCGTGGTGTAGACTTGTCCAGATATATCTACGCGTAGTATAGACATGTCTAGATATATCTAGGCTAGGGGTAGTGTAGACTTGTCCAGATATATCTAGGTGTAGTGTAGACTTGTCCAGATATATCTAGGCGTGGTGTAGACTTGTCCAGATATATGTAGGTGTAGTGTAGACTTGTCCAGATATATCTAGGTGTAGTGTAGACTTGTCCAGATATATCTAGGTGTAGTATAGACTTGTCAAGATATATCTAGGCGTGGTGTAGACTTGTCCAGATATATCTAGGCGTAGTGTAGACTTGTCTAGATATATCTAGGCTAGGCGTAGTGTAGACTTGTCTAGATATATCTAGGCTAGGCGTAGTGTAGACTTGTCCAGATATATCTAGGCGTAGTGTAGACTTGTCCAGATATATCTAGGCGTAGTGTAGACTTGTCTAGATATATCTAGGCTAGGCGTAGTGTAGACTTGTCTAGATATATCTAGGCTAGGCGTAGTGTAGACTTGTCCAGATATATCTAGGCGTAGTGTAGACTTGTCCAGATATATCTAGGCGTAGTGTAGACTTGTCTAGATATATCTAGGCTAGGCGTAGTGTAGACTTGTCTAGATATATCTAGGTGTAGTGTAGACTTGTCCAGATATATGTAGGTGTATCGTAGACTTGTCCAGATATATCTAGGCTAGACGTAGTGTAGACTTGCCTAGATATATCTAGGTGTAGTGTAGACTTGTCTAGATATATCTCGGCGTGGTGTAGACTTGTCTAGATATATCTAGACGTAGTGTAGTCTTGTCCAGATATATCTAGGCGTAGTATAGACATGTCTAGATATATGTAGGTGTATCGCAGACTTGTCCAGATATATCTAGGTGTAGTGTAGACTTGTCCAGATATCTCTAGGCGTAGTGTAGACTTGTCCAGATATATCTAGGCTAGGCGTAGTGTAGACTTGTCTAGTTATATCTAGGTGTATCGCAGACTTGTCCAGATATATCTAGATGTAGTGTAGACTTGTCCAGATATATCTAGGCGTAGTGTAGACTTGTCCAGATATATCTAGGTGTAGTGTAGACTTGTCCAGATATATCTAGGCGTAGTGTAGACTTGTCCAGGTAAATCTAGGCGTAGTGTAGACTTGTCCATATATATCTAGGCGTAGTGTAGACTTGTCCAGGTAAATCTAGGCGTAGTGTAGACTTGTCCATATATATCTAGGCGTAGTGTACACTTGTCTAGTTATATCTAGGTGTATCGCAGACTTGTCCATGTATATCTAAGTGAAGTGTAGACTTGTCCATATATATCTAGGCGTAGTGTAGACTTGTCCAGATATATCTAGGTGTAGTGTAGACTTGTCCAGATATATCTAGGCGTAGTGTAGACTTGTCCAGGTATATCTAGGCGTAGTGTAGACTTGTCCATATATATCTAGGTGTAGTGTAGCCTAATCCAAATATATATAGGTGTAGTGTAGACTTGTCCAGATATATCTAGGTGTAGTGTAGACATGTCCAGATATCTTTAGGCGTAGTGTAGCCTAATCCAAATATATATATGTGTACTGTAGACATGTCCAGATATATTTAGGCGTAGTGTAGACTTGTCCAGATATATCGAGGTGAAGTGTAGACTTGTTCAGATATATCTAGGTGTAGTGTAGACTTGTCCAGATATATCTAGGTGTAGTGTAGAATTGTGCAGATATCTCTAGGCGTTATGTAGACTTGTCCAGATATCTCTAGGCGTAGTGTAGACTTGTTCAGATATATCTAGGTGTAGTGTAGACTGTCCAGATATATCGAGGTGTAGTGTAGACATGTCCAGATATATCTAGGCGTAGTGTACACTTGTCCAGGTATATCTAAGCATAGTGTAGACTTGTCCAGATATATCTAGGCGTGGTGTAGACTTGTCCAGATATATCAAGGTGAAGTGTAGACTTGTCCAGATATATCTAGGCGTAGTGTAGACTTGTCTAGATATATCTAGGCTAGGCGTAGTGTAGAGTTGTCCAGATATATCTAGGTGTAGTGTAGACTTGTCCAGATATATGTAGGTGTATCGTAGATTTGTCCATATATATCTAGGCTAGACGTAGTGTAGACTTGTCTAGATATATCTAGGTGTAGTGTAGACATGTCCAGATATATCTAGGCTAGACGTAGTGTAGACTTGTCTAGATATATCTAGGTGTAGTGTAGACATGTCCAGATATATCTAGGCTAGACGTAGTGTAGACTTTTGTCTAGATATATCTAGGCGTAGTGTAGACTTGTCCAGATATATTTAAGCTAGGCGTGGTATAGACTTGTCAAGATATATCTAGGCGTAGTGTACACTTGTCCAGGTATATCTCGGCGTGGTTTAGACTTGTCCAGATATATCTAGGAGTAGTGTACACTTGTCCAGATATATCTAGGTGTATCATAGACTTGTCCAGATATATCTAGGTGTATCGTAAACTTGTCAAGATATATCTAGGTGTATCGTAGACTTGTCCAGATATATCTAGGCGTAGTGTAGACTTGTCCAGATATATCTAGGCGTAGTGTAGACTTGTCCAGATATATCTAGGCGTAGTGTAGACTTGTCCAGATATATATAGGCGTTGTGTACACTTGTCCAGATATATCTAGGCTAGGCGTAGTGTAGACTTGTCTAGATATATCTAGGCTAGACGTAGTGTAGACTTGTCTAGATATATCTAGGTGTAGTGTAGACTTGTCCAGATATATGTAGGTGTATCGTAGACTTGTCCAGATATATCTAGGCTAGGCGTAGTGTAGACTTGTCTAGATATATCTAGGCGTAGTGTAGACTTGTCTAGATATATCTAGGCTAGACGTAGTGTAGACTTGTCTAGATATATCTAGGTGTAGTGTAGACTTGTCCAGATATATGTAGGTGTATCGTAGACTTGTCAACATAAATCTAGGCTAGGCGTAGTGTAGACTTGTCTAGATATATCTAAGCGTGGTGTAGACTTGTCCAGATATATCTAGGCTAGGCGTAGTGTAGACTTAACTATATATATCTAGATGTAGTGTAGACTTGTCCAAATATATCTAGAGGTGGTGTAGACTTGTCCATATATATCTAGGCGTGGTTTAGACCTGTCTAGATATATCTACTGTGCAGACTTGTCCAGTTATATCTAGGTGTAGCGTAGACTTGTCCAGATATATCTAGGCGTGGTGTAGGCTTGTCTAGATATATCTACTGTGCAAACATGTCCAGATATATCTAGGCTAGACGTAGTGTAGACTTGTCTGGGTATAATGTGAACATTAACACAAGTTAATGTCTAGCTTAATTGTACACCTGTCCAGATAAAATGCACAATGTTTATGTCCATCTTAATTGTACACCTGTCCAGATAAAATGCACAATGTTTATGTCCAGCTTAATTGTACACCTGTCCAGATAAAATGTACGTTTATGTCCAGCTTAATTGTACACCTGTCCAGATAAAATGTACGTTTATGTCCAGCTTAATTGTACACCTGTCCAGATAAATGTACAATGTTTATGTCCAGCTTAATTGTACACATGTCCAGATAAAATGTACAATGTTTATGTCCAGCTTAATTGTACACATGTCCAGATAAAATGTACAATGTTTATGTCCAGCTTAATTGTACACATGTCCAGATAAAATGTACAATGTTTATGTCCAGCTTAATTGTACACATGTCCAGATAAAATGTACAATGTTTATGTCCAGCTTAATTGTACACCTGTCCAGATAAAATGTACAATGCTTATGTCCAGCGGATATTGATAATCAGTTGTCGTCGTTTCGCCGATCTTTGGTGATTTTTTACCGTTATGATTTGCATTACTCCAGAAGACAATTTCATTTTTGACAAAAAAATGTTTAAAAATGTGTAAATATGTTAAGAGGTTCTATTTTCTATCAAATTTCAAATGTTAGTATTCATTTCATGGAATTAGCCGATCATAAAACATCTTTCTCAGTAAATGTGGATGATTTAACACTTATAAAATCAATGTACTTCTCCAAACACCGTTACTACAACAATCGATTTATTGATTTTTCAATGAAGTAATTTCCGGAAGAAGCAGATATTTGATAGATGACGACATCGTTTATGAACCGTTACTATCATCGATCAACGTGTGCTTTGTTCCCTCTGTAACGACATGTTCTCCAAACAAAAAGACAAAAACAATTGTGTAGTTTTCTTCATTTATTATTATAATAACACAACTGAGAAGCTCAATCAAACAGGTATATAGCTTCTCGCATTGGTTACCATGATTACAAAATCATTGTAATGACAACACCTATCTACCGACCAGCGGGTGAGGTTTGTCGTCATGGCAACGAGTCTACATTATATAATAACAAGGTACAAACAGTATGAAATTTAACAATGGTTACGAAATAAACGTCTCTGTCAAATACTTCTCGTTAAACCGGCATATCAGCAAGGAGCAAACTATACGACATTTACCTGTACTATGTATAGCCGCTATCACCTCTACGTCAGCATAATTAATAGTTATTTAAAAGTCACGTGAAAAGCCACGTGGCTTACAACGTGACAATGCTGCCTTCACATTTTGAAGTAGTGTGCCATTATTCTCACTTGCATAGAGATTCGCAAGAAGGTCAAACTTCCATTACACCCCTTTCCTTTTGACGTTCATTTTGAAGCCCAAAAGCGACAATGATTACACAAATGAAATGAACAACAATTTCATTATTATTAAAACCATATGTGGAAAAAAAGGACCAGCCTTTTTATTAAAAAAAAAAGATGAAAGATGAATTTTTTGAGGACTAGCCTCGTTTTTGATCATAATGACCAGAGAAAAAATGTTGACGGTGTGTACTGGAAGATAAGTTCAAATAATGAAATTGTGTGTTCGTAAAACAGCTTATATAATGAAGGATGGATTCTCGATCAACGAGCCTACTTTCTTCCTTCATTCCGAGAACAATTTTCCTATCTTAGAGAGTAATACGTCCTCGACCAGCGAGTCACGAGTGAATATGAATGGAAAATGAACGTAAAACAATTCAAATTGCAAACCGTTATAATACCTACTAACACGGTTCTAGATTAAGAAATTCTTTGACAATAGCATATGTATCGAGGGCATCGCTCAACAAGATAAACACTTGTGTTACTATAACCAACGTTAATGAAACTATAGAACATCTATACTTCATAAAAAACATATCTATATTACAGCCACAAAATTCAAAATCCGAAAATATGTACAAAAATGGATATGTACGAGTCTTATCCAGCAAGACATCATACACACCGGAACCGGAAGTACCTCCAGAACCGATGTCTTTAATCCAAAGCAAAGTCCGACCAGCGGATCTTGGGGATAAAGCACGTTGGATTTGATGTATAAGTGTTCGCGAATATAACAAAATTTCTAAATAATGTAGAAAAGTTTCTCCCGGCCAGCGGGAGATTTCAAGACGTCTTCTTGGTCATCTGTCCAGCAGTTGAGCTAAGGAACGTCCAATGGCAATATGCCATACAGTTTATAAATCGTAAGTCGTAACTTACACGTCGGCCTACTGGGAGTCTTCATTTGATTCAGAGACACCTGAAACACACAGAGATTAATACAACATAAGTGGATGTCCTATCATAACTCGGCGTTGTAATATTATCTGTCAAGTTCAAATTTTATCATATTTTTCATCAAGCAGACATCATAGTTAGAAAAGTAATTCAACATTAAATTCCTAGAAATGAATTTCTGTATAAAATTTTTATACATACTCCTGACCCAGTTTCCCAGATGAATAAAAAAATGAAAACATTTTCATAATTTTCATTAATCATATGCTTACCACTTGGAGTCCATGAAGATATAAGTTGTTTGAGTTGATACAACTCGGTTTCATCTGAGCAAGGACCAGCCCGTTTCAGACAAAAGTCAGTTTGGAGTTTTGGTTCGGCAAACAAGTCGAGACCTTTAGACGACATATCAATGTTGCACGTCTCCAGCATCCAGGAATCCGGGTCCAGATCATCGCACTGATCCGTATCGAAGTCCGACTCTGGAGTTAGCACAACGCTTGACATTATGTCATCATAAGCCAGCTTGTCTTCTGTAACTGAACGAGGAGATGAAGGAGTGGGACTCGGTTGGCTTTCGCACGCTGGGATCCGTTGATCTTCCATTTCCATCTTCATACCGACAAAGTTGTTGCAGTTGTTATTCAAAGGTACACCACTGATCTCGAACAACTCATCAATGTCGAATTGTTCAAATGCTGGGAGTTGTTTTTCCCGTGTCTGAAGACAACTGTAGTCTGTGGTGTCGACTGGTTCCTGTTTTACGCGCTGAAGGAGTCCTTTAATTGACATAGGCTCTCCATTCACGGTTCCAATCTCGTCGAAGAAAGAGTCAACAAACGACACGTCCAAGCTCGGTAACAGTTTCTTTTGGGTTTCTGTATTTGCTACCTTGGCGTTTTGCTGTGCGTTATTGACTTGTTTCTGTCTGATGACACACAGATGCTTGGCCACCAAAATCGGGTCAACACCACACGTAACCGGCTCTTTCTTCATTTGTGGTTGAGGTGATGATACTGGGGATGGCTCTGGAGTGGGGAAACAGGCGGGAATCGGCAGCTCAGGTACCACTTGTTCCAGTGGCGTGGCTTTTGGCATCAGCCTCGGCGACTCCACGAATGTTGGCAAGGGTTCGGGTACAACTGACTTTGGTTTGGTGTTAATGGAATTGTTGTTTAGGCAGTACATCATCTGTACAGGCCCAGTTGTAACCGCATGCTGTGGGGCTAAGCTGGAGCCGTGGGCATTGCGATACGAGTTACTTTCAAACGACGATGGAAGAGGCGTGCCACCAGAAACCATATATCCATTTCCTGCAGTTCTGTCCTGAACCATTCTTGGGACTTTGATTGGTTTACAAGTGGAGCTGAAGTTCTCCTGCAACTTTCTCTTCAATGCCTTCAGTGTATTTGTGTGTCCTTGACCCTGACGACCTATGACCTGACCGGGAGCATTGTTTCTCATGCACAAGTTCGGCTGTGATGAAAACATCGGGGATTGATTGAATCCTTGCGATGTAGAAGCAGATGCATCGAAAACACTTTGTCCCGCGAAAAATGTCGATGGAGCAAAGTTCGGTGAACTTTGTTGCTGCTGAGAAATAATACCGGTCTCCAAAGCTTGTGAAACAGGCGCGCAGAAAGCAGAGCCGAAGAAAAAGTCAGAAGCACGAGTTGCGTAGAGAGCAAATAGCTGACCCTGGATCTTAAATTGGTATGCTTCCTGTTCACTGAAACATAAATAGTTTAATTACAATTAATACTTGCGGAGAATTCGAAATATGTCATTGCTTTTTCTGGCGAAATGCAACATGCTTAGTATCACACGTTCGGGAAATGCGTAATCAAACATCTAGTGCCTACCTGATAACTTGATTGATGCAAAAGATGACGGGTTCGTCACTATTGGAAAGCAAAGCTTGACGCACGTGCATCACTATGTTCACCCAGATGACCTGATTATCTTCAGTGATCATACGCACTGTCATCATAGATCCCATCTCGTGTCTTGACTTTACAACTGTGAAATAAAATTGTATCGTTAGTGAAATGTAACAAACATCCAGGCATAATAATGATACTTAAAGACAAAAAGTCATAATTTCATAGTCCTTCCTTAAAATGCGAAAAAAACATGGTTACTTGATAATAGAATGATGTTTATATAAATCACTTATTGGTAATTAATTACTTACGTTGGATATGTTTTTCTCTGGCCTCGTGGATATCTTCTGGATGGAGACAGGAATACCAGGATTTTCCCCTTACTTTATCGCCAGTAAGACCGAGGTGATACTCGCCGCTACAAAGGTAATCAGAGAATTTTTAATCAATACTCATTTGCCAGATGTTACCCTGGTAACTTGGCAGAAACACGTGTTTGTCAATTACATACCGATTCGTAATTAGGGCATTGTTAGACTTTTTACGGAGGATCACAGCTGTTTAGATTTATTATTTCGGTATTTGCAGTAGTAACACAATGATATATATCCTTGGACATTAAAACCGTTTTCATTGACCACCACTTCAGAAAAAATAAATAACATAACCAAATTATCTGAAAACGTTGTCTTCCCCATTATCAATGGCTATTGTTATCTTATTACCAAATAAACGGCAACATAACAATCAAATTTGATCATTAACTAAGCATTACATTGAACCTGTTCGATCATTATGTTCAATAACTATTTTACTTACTTTTGAGAAATTTCCAGAAAATTCATATCCAGATGGTGTATGCTTTTGAAGACCATGGTATTGTTCTGAATAAGGGTTTCTTTGACGTCCGGGGTGATCAGCGGCGAGCACACGGAAATAAACACCTGTTGTTCACTACCAGAGTCCTGCCCCGGCACAGCAACAAAGTGCCCACGCACGTGCATCACCTGGAATAAAAAATTATATGATAAGAACGCTGTTACAGAATTGTTTTCATCATATATCATATTCTAAAATTGAAGCATTCATAAATATTTTCAGAAAATGTGTAATATAATGCAGTATATGATATAATACAATACAATTTGCTAATGCACATTATGTCATGTGTGGCGTTAATACCAAGAACGATAAGTTATCTTCTTAATCTACCTCAGGGTCAGAACATCAGCAGGATATGTCTGCTATTTTGACGTATGACGGAGAGAGCTAAATGTCAACCTCTCCGTTGTAGAAAGTAAGCGAGGCGGTTGATGATAAGCTTGTGAAATATGTTATAACCTTAGCTCGGATGTCTACGGTGTGATTTATACATTTAATAAAATCCCTTCACTAGCATCTGTGTTCGCTAACTCTCTTTTTAAAAACATTGCTCTTGTTTTTTTAATGCTCCGAACAAAACTGGCTACATTTTTAATGATTTCGTATACTTTCGTGTGTGAAACCACATGTCTCTTCCAGTTTATAAAGATGTTTTAAGCACTTAATATTGTGAAATATATCTCTGACGCAAATGTCATGTGTATACATTTTGTTAAGCCGACACTAATATGCTAGTGAACTCTATACAAAGTATATTTTACGGTGGCCCTGTTGCCTTTATTTCCGCCAGTTACAAATTATATACGAACTCGCGGTGATGATTCAGACCGACAGATGCCTATCATCCTATACCACAAGGACCGTATTATGGAGAATCACTCAAGCGTGAAGTCGCTGCCTCGGGCTTGCTCAGAGTAGGTCTAATGTAGATAGATCCTACCATGACTGCGTTGTAGCGATGTGAATTATGGCTATGTGATAGCTTTACGTCTTCTCTCCGAGTTGGTCTTTAGGTAATGAGATAAGTGTAATTGCCAGAACTATGGTCTAGTTACGACGTAAAACACCCATTTGAATAGCATTTTTATAGTCATTAAAATACAATAAGAAGACTTCGTTTGTAAGGTGAATGAATTAAGTCGTTTTAATTGATTATATATATAAGAACACTACACCATATATTTTACTAAACATAACAGGGAGGTCAGACAAGTATAATGTTTACATGATAGTACGGTTTTCTTTGAATGATGAGCATCTAAAAACCTTTATTAGTTTTCTCAACGGAAGAAAAGGATGTTCAGAGACATGTTAAAGTCTATGCATTAACTATTTAATCATTAGTATTTTAAGTACAAGACAAAGAAAGAAGTAAAATGATAAGATGTCAGGAAATCCCACATTTATCACAGATTAATTACCTTTATACCTGAAAAATCTCAATCAAAAAGATAAACTAACTTTATACAAAAAATCCCATTTAACAAAGATGTATTCATTTTAATCCATTAAATTCCTATTTAACAAAGATATATTAATTTTAACCCACTAAATTCCCATTTAACAAAGACATATTAATTTAACCCATTAAATTCCCATTTGACAAAGATATACTAACTTAAACCCAACAGAATATATTAAGTGATAAAAGCATTACCTTCCCAATATAAAAACAAAAGCGTTTTATCAGTATACTTTCCCAGGTAAACTAGTTAATGCCGCATTGACCCTAACATAGCCTCGTTTCAATAGCTCTTCTCCAGAGAAGAACAAGATTTAATGTGTCAGCTGATATGATTAATGGAGTACTATAGGAAGACAACATCCATCAGTGTCTGTTCTATGTCAATGTATACCAGTCGCCCACCGTAACACAACCACAGCTAATTGGCATACTGCCAAGCTCAGGTAAACGTAAATTACGTCTACGAGCGATCCAACTTTTCCATCTATTATCGGCGATTATGTATATAACCTGAGGGCGTCATTCCAAGTCTGGCGTATTGATATCGGTATAGTGCAAAACTTACAAATTATGTACGTACTGATTAACTCTCATCAAATCAATGTTTCCGAGAATTTAGTATACATATTGATAAATGTTCAGATCTGCTTGATATCTTTTTCTGATTGTATCTGATAACCATCCCTGCTATTCCGAAAATCCTACAAGTTGTTTTTTTGAAAATTACATCTCATATCCAAATTTTAAATTTCAGCTAAATATATTTTCATATATCATAAGAAATTTTGTCATTTTATTTTAAAAATCTGTTTCAACCTTTTATTTCTACTTGAAAAATACATAGAATAAAGACGGTTTCCTGAAGTTTTATTTGGAAGAGTAATAATCCTTCAGGCATGGTCAAATTTAATACACTCTTGAAACTTCATGCGTATTCGGTGTTCTTGTTTGCTTCCAACGTACTTGAGGGAAAACAACAATGTTTGTTGTTATCGCTAGCCCGGATGTTGTACTTCACCTTCCAACCATTTCCGTGATACTGACAAAACTACAGCCGAATCGTATCGCTTTCTTTACGGCTTTGTTTACATATGGTCAAGTCCAGTTTCCTGAATCACCTTTACCCGAGAAGTATGTTCGTATAACACTTTAAACAATTCCCTACTTCGTGTAAAATGTCAACAAATCACTCCTGTCTAAAATAGAAAGGTAAGGAAATAGGCCTACCTTGACATCGCCAAAGCCAGCCTGGCGTTTGAGGGTCCTTGACATGTTCATCCGACAGAAGAAGCTGATTGGTTGTTTATTGTCAGCCTCTCCTACTCCGTGCATCAACTGTGCCTGCACAGTGCCATGATCACGTTTGTCAACAATATCAAATAAACTGTCTCCTTGCGTCTTCATATCAACCTGAAATAATGCCAAACGTGAAAACAATGCCTTCATCCAATACCTCTGGTAATGTTCATTTTGGTGAAAAACATTTCCTTCTTTCCAAACCGATATTATCAAATATCTGTCTTTTATCTATACTTTTGGTTTAAAACTACTTCCTTTATTCTGATGAAAGATGGCAACAGAGTTCAATTTCATATAGTGCTTGGAGCCGAAAGCGAGCTGATAATGCTTTTTCAGGCTGGTGTTTTTAAGACTTTGTGCTTCAACCTACCATTGAGTGTCCCAGGTACTCTGTAACGTTCTCCGAGATGTAGACCAGCTTGCCATCTCTGGTTGTGACGAGAAGGAATCCAGTTAGAGACTGTAACGATAAAACGACCTTATCAAGAATGTTGTCCAGGGTGTGACGATCATTGCAAACATGGGTCGTAAACATGTCATCTTTAAAGATACGCCACAACATTATACAGCACATTCACTTACACTATACATTTATTTTTGTATGACGGGGTTACAGGTCATATCCTATCAGTGAGTTTAAAAAAACCGTGATACTGGGGGACAAAGAGCATGAAGCACGTGTTCCCACCCAAAATTCTCGATCACCTCTTAGTGAGGACGCAGTCTTAAAATTGCTATGCTATCATCATATTGTCTGTGTTTGCATTCTGGCAAGATAATATGAGGCCAACACTGGAGGGCTATCATTACGAGCAAATGTGGCCGACATTTTTGTAATGAAGAAGAAACTCAGAAACCTGCCAATATCTAAATGAAACTTTTTCTCATTAGGCAAAACTAGGGTAGTGTTCCTGTTGTTTAATGCTAGAGGCAGACCTGTGTTTAACCCGCCAGTTAGAACACACTCGCCTGCAATATAAAAAAATGTTGGCGCCTTCCCAGGACTCTCACTCAATGTGGGTTACATTCTAAAGAAATATTTAGTCTGTAACATGTGTTATCTCACACGCTCAAAGCTTCTGTAAAACATTCTCCCACGTTTACCACATGCAATCACGTGACTGTGCGCAGACGAAAATGTTTATTCAGGCTGGAGATATACTTCAGTGTTCCATTAAAAACGATTTCTATTCTCGTAAAATGACACTAGCATTGAATGGTTGTATAAGCTGTCACAGTTCTGTATTTTGACCCTATTGATTATAAAAGAACCCTGGATTCTGAACCGAATATTAAGTACCGGCTAAAGTGGACTAAGGACATTAGTACTGCTAGTATCGAGGGCACGCAAGGACACAGTGATCTGATTCCGTCACCAAAACATACGTAAACAGAGGCATATCAAACCATCGGCTACAACAATCAGCTATTCAAACTGGGTTTTAAATCGCCTTGATCTAGAGTGCGGCATACAATTATTCAAGCACAGAATGACGTCAAGCGGTTTCTAAATTTAACTCGGACCTAAAGTGGGAACCACTCTGTGTACATTACCTATATCACGAAAGGCCCGCTCGATTTATATTCATAACCTCCATCTTAATATTTGATTTGAAGTTTTCTTGGTGTAGTGACATTAAAATGACATATGTACACGAGTAAAATGGACACCTTTCACAATTGATAAGTTAAAATGAGGTCACTCAAGTCAGTAGAGCGAAACGTTGGATAAACAGATGGGATACTGATCCCAACCGCTGAACAAACATGACCTTTATCTTACGTCATATATGACCCCGATCACTCGACACTCGCGTGATCAACATACCAAGAAATGCTTTTTTATTTGGGTGATACTTCAATTAAAGAATCAGCCTTACCTGTGAAAACTCGCATGGGGCTTCGTTAGGGCAAGGCTGTGATTGTATCACTGAAAAAATAAATGCATACATGAATGGTCCGTACCAGCAGAAACCACTACAAAAGTGTTGTTTGTTGACGATTAGTTATAAATTATTCATGTGACTAAATGGTTGAAACCGGATATTGTACATACGTAACAAGGAAGCATTGAACACATTGGAATATCCTTATATGGACAAAATAAGTTGAGCAGGAAGTTTAAATAAAATACAGTAGTTTGAATTAAATAATAAGAAACAAGATTTACAATTTGAGGCATTTTACATGTTAAAGATAACCTTCTGAAGTATTGACTATCATTATCGTTACAAGTAGTAAACTGTTGAATGCTAACAGTTTGCGAAATTGCTCTTTTAGTGAAGAATATCGTAAGATATAAAAGCATGTTTTTATTAAACGTGTTGAATATAAAAAAAACTTACTTTTCTGGAGGATGTTGCATTTCCTGATAAAGACACAGCTCAGTGACATGACCTGGAGTTGAGATAACCTCTGCCGTGAACTTTCGGGCAGTGGTAAAAGATCTCGCATTATCCCGATTTCTGAGTTTATCTGGTCTCGCCTTTGTTTTGATGCTCCCTTGTTGGACCTGTTCGTAAATAAGTATAATTTGCTATCAACAAGTTTCAGCACAAAATTTATTTTCTTTACGTAATATTTCATCAACATATATTATACGTCCACATAAGCCGCTACTAGGAAATGCGAATGAAACGTGATGCCATTTCAAATGTTCAAATACAACAAAACTTGAATTATTTTGAAAAAAAAACGTGTTATTTAATATATAGAATATGAAGGTATGCATGTATTTAATAATAAATTACTCTTGTAATTATCTGCTGAAGCAGACGAGAACAAGGCAGAGGTCATCGGAACTATATACGTTATAAATTATATCTGAAATGATTGACAAGGACGGTAAATGACAATGCTAACTCTCTCCTGGTCTTTTTGACTGACACTGTAACATCAGTATTACCGGGAAACGTAATTAAATTCCCTAACGTATGCCCGCCAGCTACAGCCAGTGTTGTAGCTATGTATAGCTTCTCTGACGTTTATGCCGTGTGTGTAAGTAGTGTGTGAATCATCTAGCTTCAAACAGGTGCGCAGAGCTTGGTGTAATGGCGCCCAATATCTCCCAACACCAGGTATGAATAACGATGGACCAGGCATTTACCTTGCATAGTAATATCACCAAAACATCTATACTGTACCCCCTTATCAAACTCTATCATATTTACATACAGAATAAACTAGGATTATAGTCATCTCCGTAATACCACTGATAGTGGACCACTCCCCGCTCAGAAATAGCTACCACAACACAATAAATAAATAATGTATAGAAAACTTACCTTTCCAAGTCCAATAGGGCTAACTCATCAACAGGACTCGGTGCCATTTTTCCTTTGTGTACAAGTTATTTACATTTAAACAATAAACAAATCTACAAAATGTTGCTCGGACGGGCCAGCCGTCTGTATAGTCCAAGTTCCACTATCGATATGAGACTTCCGTGGCGTTGATTGACGTATTAAATCCTCTGGCAGTAGGGGTTTTCTGATTGGCGGAGTTAGATCACGTGATACAATAACCTTGATGGCGTCATCGCCAAGCAAGGTGTATTCATTGACAAGCGGCTATGTGCGTACATGGACGGACCATTACATAGTTGTTTAACCAACCGTTGAAAACCACCGAAGACACTGTCTACGCAGAATATGCCTTAACTAGCTAGCAGTTTGTCTTTATAACACAGAAACAACAGACTGTAGGATTTTAAAACTTTGCGTTATCTGGGGAAATTATAGAAACTTTTTATCTAACCTACTCCCACGTGTGCCACAGTAGGGTATTTTATGTATTAATCAATTTGTCCTTGTTTTCCATTACTTGTTAAATGTCAAGTACCTGATTATGTTTCCCTATGATATTGCATTGCCATTTTATATCTGTTTCTTCCATAAAAAAAACTGTGGTAAATAAAACTCGATTTTTAATCGGTATGATAGTTATTATTCGAGGCCGGAGAGACGTTTTAGATTCAAGGATAGAAATAGCAGTAAAATATGATGGACAAGGAAACAGTTTTTAATCAGCTGCTTACTTACTGTTTTAATGGTTGAAAACGTATCTTTCCCGTTTTGCTATTGCACTTATATATCCCGTTTTTGTCGTAACAGACATAAGCCCTATATGAAGACTTATACCACTCGTAAGGGCATGAAGGTATCGGGTAATATTTCTGCCTAAACTTTTCATCTGAAATTTCGTCTCACGGCCTATTTGCAACAGAAATGGTTACGATAGATGCAGCTTGACTTTGAAGAGTTTCTTTGTGTGCTACCATGATCAGAGACGCTGTCATTTTTCAGTTGGTTTCGCAGTTCTTAATCTTGTTCCCACTGTGAAATGCCACATTTTTTACTCTGATTGACTACAATTTACATGACGAGTGCCGTCGATGAAGCAGAAGACGCTTATCATTCCAGAACATATTATTGTTTTTAATGATACCGTGTAAATGCGTTTTAATTGATAAAGTTTGTAGCTAACCTCAAGTTATCTAATGTCTTCTCAAAATGTTGAAATGAGATATCAGGCGATTCTAGCGTTTTTCACCATTAAAACAGGACATGATGTGAATAATACCAGACTGACCTGACGAGGTGAGTTGGCAACAAAAAGGATGACTGTAAACATGTTAGCATGTGCTCTCGTTCTGTTTTCATATCGCACAAAAATGTAAAAGATTTAACCAATTTGCTCACGATCCAAGCCAAACATTTTCCTCGAAATCTTCACCAAACTGTTAGATCTCGAAACCTTGTGTTATCACTTTTAAATGTACATTTTGACTTGTTCTGTAATCAGGTGTTACCACTTTTAAATGTATATTTTGATTTGTTCTGTAATCAGGTGTTATCACTTTTAATTGTATATTTTGACTTGTTCTGTAATCAAGTGTTACCACTTTTAAATGTATATTTTGATTTGTTCTGTAATCAGGTTATCAACTATCTTATTAAGTATTGTTTATGTATCGCTTTATTGATTTATTAATCTCGACATCATGATAAGAATATAATCGATATGATCCTGGCTATTTATCTTGCTGATTTACTGCAGCTGTAAAAGAAAAATATCAAATAAGCTCTCCCGAGAGAAAATATCGTACAATTATACTTATATACATGGGGTCGAATTAGAGTCTCTGTATGACATATGTTTGATTTTGATGAACTAAGGATCACAGTCCAGCTAGTGCCCAGTTTTGAAACTACGGAATACTATTCAACTGAAACCGGAAAATATGTTTATATTCCTTGTGTTGTCCTGATTTACATGTCGGATTTATCGATTAAGGAGAAGACGATTTCCATTACATACCTCCTGGTCTAATTCTCTTGTATCATCAACACTCTAGAAGACTTGTTTTTATCATAGTATAGTATTCCCCTTGTACTTTTTCAAGGGTCTTCTTGTAAGTCTTTTTTTATCAGGTCCCTCTCTAGTTGTTTCAATGAATTTGAATTTGAACTGATTATGTGGACATGTTGGTAGCGCATGGCAAGCAGATTGAAATAAACAATGCTTAATATTGCTTTCAATCTTATTCTTTAAATTTTGATTGACTCTAGAGAGAAAGAGCATGCTAAAAATAGTATTTCATTAAAGAAATCTGAAAAATGTAAGAATATTTGTATGTTAAACTATGATTTAAAGTGTTTTGATACTGACATTTGTGTTGTTGCTGTTGTTGTTTTACTGTTATTGTTTGTTGTTGTTGCTCAATTACATGCAGAATATTCAACGTAATATGTATGATCGATATTTTGAGTAATTGGAGTATTTATAGAAGGTATTACTCCCGAAGGAGCTGGTAAAAAGATAAATAGAAATAAACGTGAGCTAAATTAGACGGTATATTTTTCGGTTTGATATCAGTATACAAGACAATAAATCATGAATTTTGCAAATCTACAAATCGTCCTTACTTCAAGATCAATGCATATCCGTGATTAAAATGTAGTTTTATATTTTGGCGTTTTTCACTTACACTCATTATTTTTGAAATATAAATTCTCCTTCATGAGTGAAGATAATAAAATTATACGTTGGATGCGTTTGATGTTTTTTTAATGAATTTTCATTTCTTTATAATTTCCTAACCTTTAGTGTTTACATGTCGTCATTGATTTCATATGCCAGGTTGTGTTCCCATTATCAGACTTTGATAAGAGAGATATGTCGAGACATGACCTTTTCGAGATGTACAGGCTAATGAATGCTATGTGGGTAGTTGTATAGTCGTTGCTTTCTTCTCATGAGAAATAGACTGTTTCCATGCGCTTTGGATACATGGCCACTTGACAGCTAAAATCTTGTTCTCTTTTGTGAACGCGACATTACTTTTTTATTTGGGTTGATCAAATTTTTCATGCCAGATCGATGAAGCAAAAGATGCCCCCGTATCCAGGAACAAAAATTAGAAATGAGACTTCAAGTTTAAAGAACAGAGGAAACACAGATTCGTTGGCAATCTCCCTGATGAAATATTCATGAGTTTGACACAACTGCGGTTTGGACAGGTTTGTCTGTACTGGTGTTGTTTTATTTACTTGTCATTTAGATAAAGACGACTCTGTTCTGACTGTTGCACCACCAACTCGTCAATTAGGTAGATAATACCTCTCAAATAAATCAACCTTCTTAAAATGTATAAATCATCATTGAGAAAAAAGCCTATTTCCTTGTGCGAAATGGAGCTGGACTTGGTTGATGCTCGTTAGTTTTTCTGTTGGTCCCGTTGTGGTATACCTTGTTCTTATTTGAGAACCTGACATAACTGACCAACATTGACCGAAGGTTTACATGGCGAGTGTTGTCTTTTTGTCGCTTTACTTTTTCTGATGTGTTCGTGTAAATCTTTCTTGTGTTCATATTTTGCCTTAGTTTCATTGAATTCGAGTTTGGATTATGATTATATTGACATAGTGTTATTTTCTTTTTCTTTCAATCAAAGCTATACCGTTGAAAGTTCTGCTTGGCAAAGATGAACGCGAGAAAGCACGTTATAAAATCAACCTTACATGTCATTCAGCTGATGAATATGACATTAAATTATTTTTGTATGATAATTCCGATATTGAATATTCATACCTTTGATATAATTTATATAAAACATACCGGTCATGAATTATCAATACACTGTATGTTGAAATCATAACATCTATTACAAAATCAGCGTTGTGCACTTGTTACCTTGGTTAGTTTTATTTTGCAGGCACCGTCATTACTCGAAGCTATGACCTTAGATTCACCAAGCATTCTTTTGTTAATGAGGCTACTGCATGTGAGTAAAATATCCTGGTGTTTTAACGTATCAGATAATTGAAGATGGCTTAGCTGAAATTTCTAAACTGAATTGACGTAATCAGTATCGTCAAGGCGATGATCCAGAAAGCTCATCTTTCGTGACAGGTCATCCACGTGGAAGCATAATGAGACCAACAGCTGATAACATACGGGGTTTCCATTCAATTCAAGGACGATGAATTCTCAAACGAAGGTTACAGAGGCCGTGTCAAGGAAATCCCGAGACACGGAATACATTGAACTCTGCCCTTTAGACGAAGAAACGCGAAGCTGCTCATCTCTCAAGGAAATCAAGAATGCCTCCATGTCAAGAGATATGGACTGGTCAGAAATATCGCGGCCACAGCAAATAATTATACAAAGCATTGCCGATCACCATATTACATGTTGATAGTCTATTTGTTTAGTTTTGTTCCTGTTTTTATCATTATTATTGTTTTTGTAGTATTTATCATTTCTACTGTTATTTCAGTGCTGACCAATCTCATTCCCACTTTCCATTCGCTGCATTGACATCCGCTGGTGTTTCTTTTTGTTTTGTTTTTAATTTGTACCATGTTTATATGTTAACCGAAAGGGCATATTCAGACCCTTTTTGATCCGATCATTTTATAAGATTTCTTCTCGTGCATGTGTACAAAATTAACAATTTTAACCGTGGTCGTTAAACATCATACCAATATCAAGAGTTTGAAAGAATAAAACATTGATTTTTAGGAACATTTTGTGGTCGTTATATGCATCTTTACTTATATTGTTGATAATGAATAAACAATGTACAGTTTAACTAAGTTCAGTCAGATATAGTCATTATTTTCCGTGTTCACACGTAAGTTCGTGCGATAACTTGCGTAGGAAACCATTTTATGACCTATTGAGAAGTCCTGAAATTGAAATTTGTTCGTGTGACCTGTGAAAAACAAATTCCATTTCCTTGCAGATTGATGGGCATTGCTCATTAGAGGCTGACTTACATAAAAAACTTAACATTAAAAACATCATTTGAAATTGAAATCCATATATATATATCTATATATGGTATAATGGACCCGCCAACAAACTTGTAGCTGCACTATGACATTTTAACATGTGTAAGTTGTATACAAAACTAA